TATATAAAGCAGGAAGCAGAAGAAGGAAAGCAAAGAAGTCTCCAGATTGAAATATGTCAAAATTCATGGTCTTTTTAGGGGTTTCATGCAAAAATGATTGGTACAAATATGTACAAGAGTCTCTAATATGTAAAAGCCACCCTGTAACCATTTGTTGTGTGGAAGTTATTCTAAACCAGTAGTTCTTAACTGGGGATGACTGTGGCAATGTCTAGAGACATTGTTGATTGTCATGACTAGGGGAATGTTACAACTGCCATCTAGTTAACAGAGCCAAGAATGCTGCTGACCGTCTTACACTGCCCAGGACAGCCCCCTCCACAACGTATCCTTAAGGCTCGATGTTTTATGCCTTTGTGATCCTACATTATAAGATAGTTCTGCCCTACCCAATATGTAAACCACTACCCTTTGTGGCCATATATACAAACATCTACCTATAGTCAGAATGGAGTAATGGGAACCATATTTAACTTTCTGTATATGACAATATGAAAAACACAGACAAAATATATTTTTTAAAGCGGCACTTAAAACATTGGTCACAGGAAGCAAAGGTGACAGTGATTCCTAAGAGACAAAAACTAAGAAAAGCAGGTCCCTCTCACTTACTGCATGGAGAAAGTTTTTAGGGTGTGCATAGGGTCACCCTGGGAGAGGAAAGAAAAACACGAAGAAGGAAACACTGATAATCTTGAGGGCTTTTCTGTGAGTATTTAGCAGAGTTCTGATTAACATCTATGTGTGAAGATTTTAGGCAGCTGGGGGAAGAACCACAAAGAATGTCTCTAGGAAACAATCCTTGAAGATCATGCAAGAATGAAAATAGTGCTTTTTCTTGCTGCCAGAGAGGAAAATCTTGTAGTTCAAGGGTACTAGTCAGAGTACACAAGAGGGTCTTGCCCGGGTAAAAGAGAAAAATAGTCTCAGAGTAAATGAACTATGGTCCTGCTTAGCAAAAAGATCAACGTATTTTTAAGTAACTTAATGACATTCCAGGACAAAAATCAACTATACTTATAAGAATACATAAAACATCTATCACCCAACAAGGTAAAATTAATACTGCTTAGTATTCAATCAAAAATTAACAGACATACAAATAGAAAGATATAATCCATCATGAGAAGAAAGATTAGTCAATTGAAGCTGAGAAATTATTCAAATGATAAAATTAATAGGTAAGAACATGAAAACAGTTATAATGGCTGTATTCCATGTATTTAAAGATCCAGAGAAAAGGTTAAATATTTTAAGCACACACATGGACATAAATATGTAAAGTAACACACACACATATATGTACATGTTAACTTCTATAGATAACTATATTGTCTGAAATGTGAAATACATGTGGTAGGATTCGCAAGAAATTGTAATTTTAAGAGACTAGCATATTTAAGTGCAAAGTATTAGAATCCATTCAAAGTGAAACAGAAAAAAGATCAAAGAAAGAGAGAGAGAGGGAGAGAGAGAGAGCAGAACATCAGTGAGTAATGAAATAACACCAATTGATCAAACATACTTCTAAAAGGAAAACCAAAAAGATATTGAAAAATAACTGTTGAAAATTTCTAAACTTGATTTTAAAAAACAGAACAAACCCCAAACAAAAGAAATATGAAGAAAAATCACACCAACTCTCACAATCAAATCACTTAAAATATAAACAATAAAGAAAAAAATCCTAGAGGCAGGTAGAAAAAACACATATATATGGGGACTTTTTTTTAAAGAGACTAAGTTGAGGAACAAAATAAGGATAACTGCTTTTACGACATTCCCCCCCCCCCCCGGCCCGCCAACTTTTTACTGGAGGTTTTTCTTAGTGCGACAGTGAGAAAAAAACAGATAGATATGCCATCCAAAATGTGAAGAAAAAATAAATTCATCTTTAGTGACCAGAAATAATTGTCTATGTTAAAAACTAGTAAAGAATTAACAAAAAAGCTACTGGAAACAATAAACAAATTTATCAAGGTTAGGGAATACGATTAATATGCAAAAATCAACTGTATTTCCATATACTATCAACAAATCCTTGGAAATTCAGATTGAAAAAAGCAGTATCACTTGCAATAGTATAAAAAATGAAATACAAAGATGCACCTGACAAAATGACTGGCACATGGAAAACTATACAATAATACTAAGAGAAATTAAAGAAGACTTAAGTAAGTGGAAAATTTATCATATTCATTTGTCAGAAGACATGGTATTGATAAGATGGCAATTTTTTCAAACTAATCTATGCCAATATTAATTGAAATGCCAGTAGGGTTTTGTTGATGCTGTTGTTGTGTTTATTTTTGTTGAAAATGGACAAGTGGATTCTAACATTTTGTGTTGAAAATGAAGAACTGAAACAATCTTGAAAAATAAAAACCAAGTTGGATGGCTAACACTATCTGATTTCATGGTTATGAAAGCAACAATTATCAAAAAATTTTGCATTGGTGTAAGTATATGCCAAACGATCAATGGAATAGAATAAAGAGATTAGAAGAAGATTCACAATATATGATCAATTATCTATCAACAAAGTTGCAAAATAAATGGTGCTGACAAATTTGGAGATTTACAGGCAAAACATTCAACATCACTACTACCACCACCAACAAAATCATGTCCTTCCTTCTCTCACACCACACATAAAAAATAACTCAAAAATCATCGTCCTAAGTCCTAAAATCTAACAACATAAAATTTCTGGAAGAAAACACAGGAGAAAATCCTTGAGTTCCTGTTTAGGCAAAGACTTCTTAAATATGTCACCAAAAGCACTAGTCATAAAGAAAACTTGATAAAATGGGACTTCCTCAAATCTAACTTTTGTAATTTCAAAGGTAACCAAGGGACAATATATATATATTGGAACAGAATATTTTCAAGTAATATAAAAGTTAAAAAAGTTATATTCACAATATATACACATTCTCTCTGCAACAAATACGATAAAAATGAACCCAATAAAAATAAGAGCAAAATGTTTGAATAATACATAACCTAGGAATATAGAGAGTTGTAAAATAAAATGACATAAAGATGCTGAATATCTTCAGTTACTACGGAAACAAAAATGAATCCTACATTCAATACAATGACTAAAATGAAAAAATTGAACATAAGTTCATGAGGACGCGGAAGAATTAGAACATTTACACACTATCAGTGGAATGTTATGGGACAATAAGTTTGGAGACCAGTTTGTTTAAAAGTTAAACACCTATCATAGAACCCAGCCAATTCCAATTCTAAGTACTTACAGCAGAGAAATGAAAGCATATTTCCATACAGAGACCTGCGCATAAATGATCAAGGCAGCTTTGCTTATGATACCTAAAAAAATGTAAGCAATCCAAATGTCTATCATCATGTAGGAGAAACACAACAAATTGTCGTATATCCAGATAATGAAATATTGCTTAGTTATAAAAGCAATGAACTACATAATACTATGTCTAATGAGACACTAAACTACATATAAGTATGTAAGTATAGAATAATTCATTTATACTAAATTCTAGAAAATACAAACTAACTTATACTGACAATAAGCGTATTAGTGGTTTGCCTTGGACGTGAAGGAAGGAAAAGACAGGAGAGAAAGATTACAAAGTGATACGAGGAAAAGGGGTTGAGGTATGTTCGTTATTTTAACTACAGCAGTGATTTCCAAAGTCAAGGCTTACCAATTTTATGTTTTAAGCAAATGTTATTCACTATATGTACATTATATATTAAAAAGTTGTTAATTTTTAAAATGATTAAAGTTAAGAAAATTTAGAAGCTCAGTTCACCAGGTGAACTAATCACATCTCAAGTTCCTAATCGCCATATATAACTGGTGGCTACCATTTTGGATAGGACCAATAGGATCATATTTCTATGATCACCACTAGTACTATGGGACAGCACTTCTCTATCTCATATTTGAAGAAGTGGCCATTTCTTTCATTCTTTTCACACCTACCTATGCTAAACTTTTAAGAATAGGAGTGAGCATGGTGTTATAAAACTGATATATAAATTACTCAAGAATTGTAAAAAACAGATTTTATTAATTTTAAAATAATTTTTCTCTGAAGCAAAATACAATTTCTATTCATAAGCATATAATACACTATACCTCACTTAGACATCATGACTTCTCTGGATAATGTTTAATTAGTTTCCTTTAATGATAAAGTTTGACAGTAATTTTAGGCACTAAGTGACACAGAAAGAAATAAATTAACACTTTCTTGGAACTTCCTTACTTATTAATAATCAAAGTGGTTATAGCTTCAATTATAACTCTTTTCAGGTGATACACATTTTTCACATACCTACAGATATCTTCTGAGTCAACTTTTCGTTGTTTCAGAGTATAATGCTACATAATGCAAGTAAATTTTCCTTTTTAACAGAATCAAGCACGTCACCTTTATGCAACAAATATAATCAGAAGTTTCAAATGAAGGAACAAACATTAAAAATAGAACACCATGATAGGCACTGAAATACTTCATGTTCAAGGAACAAGTTAAAAAAAAAAAATCATGGCAGGGAAGTTGTTAAACTTTACACTTTGACTGAAGCTTTTCCCTTCCCAGTTTTGAGAGTTGGAGGTGATTTTAATTTAAAAAAAAAAAGGATTAACACCAGAAAACCAAATTCAAATGCCATTTTCCACCCCTACCAGCAGCCCATGGATTGGGGAGGCAACATGTTTGTTAGCTTAGTTTTTGTTATGCAGGACTGAAATCCTCAATCCTCCTCCTGTCACGGCCAAACACACTACCCTTCCCACGCACATTCTGATGACTGAGTGATCTCTGTCTCAGAAATGGAACACAAAAAAAGGCAACTGGAACTGGGAGAAGAGAAAGGAGGCCGACGGCCAGGGTAGACAACCAAGACAATCCCCCAACTGTGGCTGTGCACGATAAGCCAGAAGTATAAAAATAGAAACCAAGTCCCTCTGTTGTGTGCAGAACTCAGAAGCCAGCTTCACTTACTTTTTTACACCGACAGAGCCATTTTCCTTGTTTTCCATGTCAACAGATAGCATGGGAAGGCTGCAGGGTTCCTTTACTTCCGCAACTAATCAATAAGGGAGAAAAGCTTGTGTTTAATTCTTAGAAAGTGAGAGAAGAATATATATTCTGAATCGGAAACATAAAGGTCCCTTTCACAGCTTCACACCAGTGCACGGTATGTTTGTTTAAATCTCCAGTTTCCTCAGTGATTGGAGAGATGTGATTAAACCTAAAGAACTGGGGGAGACGGACTGGGGTGCTTTCATCTGTCCTGGCACTCCCCCGCCTCGACAATGAGCATTTGCAAATGAAATTGAATCCTTGTTCAAAATAAGTGCTGTGGGACCTGGCACAGCCTCCTCTGGGTGCCGGACTCCCACTGAAGACACTGCAACTCATAAATGAGTCAAAGTAAAAGACAAACAATCCCCCTTTTCCTACTGTCTCCCACCATGGGCTGTGATTTTTTTTTCTTTTATTTGCCTTTTATTTTGGGGAGGTGGGGTCTACTCCTAGATTTTTTGAATGCAATGCAGAAAGGTACTTAATGCTTTTGTCAGCAAGTGTTTCCCTACCTCACCTATTCTCAGTTAAAGCTTCAAAAAGCCAGTCTGGAAAGCAACCAGGTTGTGGTAAAGCAAAGACCTTTAAAAAAATGCTAGATAGCCCTGAGCCCAGAAAGGTGGTGCTGGTGTGTGTGCGTGTGTGCATGTGCGTGTGTGTGTGTGTGTGTGTGTGTGTGTGTGTGTGCCAGAGCACCGCGTGAAGAGCTAATCAGATTTATGTAAAATTATCAAAACATTTAAGGAGCTAGAGTAGTATTTATCACTCTTTTTGTCTGAGGGATAAGGACTGTGCAAAAACAAAAGCCCTCCACAATTAATATGCAATTAACAAGATGAAAAAGCTAAGAACAAAACTGCTTTAAGAAACAAGAAGAAAAAAAAGAAAAACTCGTCCCGAAACGTATTTGCTGATATTCAGCTGAAGCCATAAATTCAATACATCTCCTCTCAAATCACTTTATACTTCGGCACTCCTTCTCCTGGGATTACCGTGACATGGCAAGTGCATCATTTAGTATAATTCACAAGATTTTATCACTGTTAGCGAAGTAGATGATTAACAAATAACACTGTAAGTGTGGGATAATCTTTACTCCTGAAACACACATAGCCACACGCATACAAACTTCCAGCTGCTAAGCCACTCAGATTACTGCTAGCGAAATGCAACATTTAATATACATATAGATTATCAGCATACATCCCCACACTGCTACAGAGTAGACAGGAAGACAGTGCTGCTGCTCCAGCTTAAAGAATGATTTTACTTCAGTTGGAAACTGTTACACATTCACCATTTTAAAAAGCGGCTCAGAAACAAAACAAAACAAAACACTCACAATGATACTCTGCAACACCACACTACATTGTCTTATTATTATTACTAGTATTTTCTTTTTCTGGTGGAAAAGTAAAAAGAAAACCTACCTATAAGCAACTAAAACATATCAATTTTATAGGTTTATCAAGAACAGCCAAAGAAACCCCAATGTTTTCTTTCACAAAGTAGGCTGGCAAAGGAATTCAATAAGGAGGTACAATTTGACACAGTGAAATAAAACCAGGCTGGCTCTCAGCCAACATGACGTTAGGAATCACACACAAGCTGCACCAACTGCCTTCTGGTTCATGGCTGACTTTTTAAAGCTACAGTGTGCCTGTTCACTTTGGCTAACTACCTGCAGCACAATTAGTGGAAGTAAATGAATCACGAGTCCAAAAACTGCAAAATTCTCCCTGCACCTGTCTTGGATGGGAAAAAAAAAAAAAAATCCAGGCTGTCTTAATAGGCTCTTATTTTTTTTTTTTTTTCCTTTTCATTGTTGTTGTGTATGCCTCTATTGCTGTTCTGTGCATAAATGTCTCATTTTAAACTATTTCTTTTTGTCCCGCCCTGAGGAAAAGAGAGATGGGGGGGGGGGCTGGGGGTTGGGTTATGTTCAGTGAACACCCCAAAGCTGCAGTGCTGAGTTACTTTTTGTTGTTGTTGTTCTAATAAAGAGTCATGGACAAAGTTCCCAGAGCTGGCTTTTAAGTAATCTCTTTGTGAGAATAAGGAAAACCCTGCCCAGCAGCAAATCCCTTTACTTCATTAGGCAGGAAGTTGCATATTTCAGAGAGGATGTAAAATAGATGACCAGATCTCCTGAAAACACCCACGGTCTTTTATTTTGGCATTTATCCTATCTCATGAAGCCAACAAAAATTCAAACCGAAACAAAACTTCATTTCACAAAAGGAAAGCAAATAGTTCTGCAAGGTTTCATTTTAATTGTTTATACTAGTTACATTTTTTTAAAACAGCACAATTCAACACATGTAACTAACACAATTTATGCGCACCTGGTAGCATACTGTGTGAGTCACATATAAATAGGAAGATATTGTATCAACACCCTAATATACAGTCTCTTACCATTATCCTAAATTCTAAATCAGGAAACTGGGAGGTGGAATAGAAAGGCTGAGTGAGATTTTTTAATTAAATTACCCTCTTCAATCTCACAGTTCCCTGGCTTGGCTGAGGAGAAACACTCTATAAATACTCTGCACACACAGAAAACATACATACTTGCCTTTTCATTGAAATAAACACTTTTCAACATTTAGACAGATTTAGTTCAAGATATCCACAAAACTACTCAAGATAGGGAACAAAATACCTGTTCCACCAAAGGATCCTGGAAAATTAGCTGCTGCGTGGAGATTTCAGGTAGAAGCGAGAAGAAAGTTCCCTACCACCCTTTTATTTAGAAGTCTTTAAGGGTACCTGCAGATCAGCAACTATGATCTAAATTTGGAATCTGAATTCTAAAGTAAAAAATGTTTCCATTGCTTATTCCACGAATGTTATTAGACACCTTCAATATTCTGAAAGACCATCGCTGAGAAATATTTCAAGTGTTCTCTCCACCTATCTTTGCCACTGTCCTCCTCACCCCCCTGGGAAAAGTAAACAATTTTAATTTAGGGACGAAGTCTAAGAGGTGAAATACCCTCCCCCTTCTCTCTCTCCCCTCTCCTTTCCATGGGATCAGACATAGGGATGGGTCACCTCTGCTGATCAAAATGATGGGCTCTAAGGAGGAAAAGAGCTCTTTCTTCAACAGATTCCATGTTTTTGGACCTGAAATTCTTGAACTACTCTCCCTCTCAATCCAAACGGAAGGGGGCTGCATTGTGAATCCTGTGGCCAGGGGAATGGAGAAGAAGGTATCTTGACAACAGGAGCCAGACTCACCATTCCTGAAGGGAAAGAGGCACAGAAAATGTAGTTACACCCAACTCTTCTTTAGATACACTCACAGGAGAAGGAGTCTTAAGTTTTTCCAAGCATTTCTCCCTCCATATAGAAAAGGACATCTCCTCCCCTGTGGCCTGCTGTGATCAAAAGTTTGCTTGTTAAACACGTGTAAGGTTTCAGAAAGTGTTGCTGAAATAGTCCCATGGTATAAAGAGTGAACCACAAAGCGATTCTAAAGTATGACAACAGGAAGCTTCACTTACAGCTAGTTTTAATGTGGGTAATTAACTGACATTTGTGAATAAAAACACACACACTAGTACTCACCTATTCTCTCCTCATGCCCTGCAACAAACTGTGACTAGCTTTTCACATGTGTGCGTGCTGCAGGGAAGCTGGGTTGCATGCATGCGGAATGTGTTTGGTACATGTAGACGTGTGGTTACAGAACATATAGCGTGCGCGCCAGCCCCTGGGATGGGGGAGTAGGCAGCAGACTTTAGCATCAGCACATTGTGGATTTTGCTCAAGTGACTCTGGAGAATGATCTGGCTTCAGGATTCCAGAGCAGAACTTCCAGGCTCACTTGGACTAGCACCGAATGGGGGAGGGAGGGGCGCCCGGTGCCTCCTTTGATCCACAAGTATTCTTGGGCAGTGCAGACTCCCCGCAAAGCCGGAGCTGTTCCACAGGACCCCCTCACCCCCCGCCGTCTGATCAGCCCCTCTCGCCAGCTCAGGACCCGGCCCCGGACCCCGCGGGTCTCGGGGGTGGGGCAGTGGGCTGTAGTTTCAGGACAGTGGACCTGGCCACCTCTGGGTCCAGCAGCGCGGGCCACGAGCCACAGACTGGGGTAAAGTTTCTCTAGGACTCGCTCGCTCCGCGGCTCTGCGACCCTGCGTGGGGGCGCCCGTTTTCCGAAAGGGAGTGTGGGGGTCCCGTCCTGGTGCGCTCACGAGGCTGCCCCAGTTCCACTCGAGGTGAGGTCCACGCCCCGTAGGTGCAACAGGCGGCGGCGGCATGGTGCCCGGCAACACGCGGCAGCGCGGGGCGGCTGGTTTCGTTTTGCTTTTTAGCCGCGGCGCCCTCGGTTTCCCACAGCTTGCAGAGGGGAGAGGGCGGCGCTCGCCTTTCGCGCGGTTTACCCCAAGCAGCGCCCCCCAGCCCCAACCCGGAGCCGCCAGGCCGCGGGGCACGCCGGGAGTTGTAGTCCGCGGGGCGGGGCGAGACCCGAACCGGAGTGGGAGGTGGAGTGGGAGGTGGGACAGGAGAGACATTTGCAACAATTTAAACTCCAGGGCCTCAGGGCTGGGGACTCTGCTAGACAGGAGTTTCCAGGTTTGTATCTTTTCCCCCCACCGCTTCTTGCTGGCTCCTCATAATCCCTGTAATCCTTGCTGAAGTTTTAAACTGGGCTTTGGAAGCAGGAATAAGTAAAAGTTCCCTGGGCCAAGCTCATATTTTGTGGGGGCTCCACTCTCTCTGCACTGTGCACACCACTTGTGGCATCCTCTGCTTGGCACACTCTTCTGTGGCTCACAAAATACCTCAGTTGAAGCCTTAGTATGTTTTATAGCGCTTCTAACCCATTAAAAAAAAAAAAAAACAACTTATGATTTGTTTTATTAGGCCCATAAAGCAACACTGGGATTTAGGCAAAGAAAAGCTAGCTATGCAGAGAGGTCTGCATGTCTCTCCTTGTGCAGACTGCCTTTAACCCTGAACTACTCACTCCCTTCTCCAGCCCTTCTCTAGGTAGCTGGGGAGAGGGGGACAGAGGACTGGGAACAGAGATGGTAGACATGGTGAAAGAAGAGGGGCATGCTGTGCAGAACTGACTTGAAATAACTGATAAGTGCATCCTTAGTAAATAAGGAAATACAGAAAACCAAAATAAGTGCCTATGGACTGGAAGGATACTGGGGGAGGACCAGGTAGTGGGGACTGTAACAGACTCAACAGAAGATGGTGAGCAGGCTGGACCGAAATTGCAAAGGCCCTTGTCAGGCCCATGTGCCATAGTAGCACATGCCCACCCAGTTTGTCAGTGGCTGAGCAGAGTAGGAGAATCCCAAGCTCAACGCTAGCCTGGACAATTTAGTCAGACTTTGTCTCAAAATAAATAAAATTTAAAAGACGTGGGGTTGTAGCTCTCAGCGCTAGAGGACTTACCTAGTATGTGCAAGGTCCTGAGTTCAATCCCCTGTATCAGAAATTAAATAATCTAACAAGCATATACATAAAATTGAATCCAAAAGAAAGCAAAACAAACAAGGATTCTGTAGAAGTCAGAGAGTTCTGGAATTTGGGCGTTGTCACTTGTAGGTATGTTCTCTGACTACAGTAAATTAACCTCCCCAAACCTTTTGCCTCATCTTTAAATTTTTAGCAGTAACAGTTCCTATTTTGTGATGTAGTTGTGCAGATTAAAAGAGACAGGAAGCACTATCTAAAGTAGTGCCTGGCATGTCATAATTACTCAGTTAATGTTCATTGTTAGCATCCACAGAAACACCTTCTGTGGAACTATGAACAGATAAATTGGAGTGGAAATACCAGTTGGAATACTCTGACACTAAACTGTGGATAATGATGTCTTGAACTATCCTAGCAGAAAGGAAGGAGCCATGAGCACTTTGGAGAAAAAATGTACAGGGCAGTGCAACCAAATGGATGTGGAATGAGGAAGAGGGATTTAAGATGGTTGTCAGTTCTAGGCTGAGTAAATGGGTACCACTGCGGTTCACATATATAGGTACAGTTGATGGTAGACTACGACTCATTTGATTCTGGACCTTAGAACTTGGGTCTTTCTGAGTATAAATGACAAACTGGCAGATGGAAATTTGGATTTGGATATTACATGTAGAAATGGAATTGCAAGCACCATCTATTTGGTAGAGGTAGTTGAAGACCCCATGCAGAGAAATCACAAAAGACCACGGTGGGGCCTGGTGTATGCTGGTCCTGATGTTGCCAAGCAGGACTAGTGAAGGTAGCCAGGGGCGGTGGCAAGGCTGCGGTGACAGAGCCAAGGGAAGAGGTAAGGCTGAGGAGGAGCCTGACTACAGGTCACGCACTACAGGGGTAGCCAGTGACCATGGGAAAGAGGAACTGGATGTATAGATCAGAGGCTATGGGTGTAGAGCTGCGTCTCTGAGATGTGTGGGAAATAGGCCAGAGTGCTTTTGCTTTTGGAGAGGAGCTCTACCGGAATACAGTTGGTGGAGGCATCTTGCTTTGCCTGAAAAAGTCTTGCACAGCAAAGAATTGTCCCACAATCCCCAGCGTCTCAACAGTCCCACTGTTCACTGATGTTGGCAATAACCCTGCATTGGGAGCAGGAGACAACTGTGTTTATACAGTGAGGTCAAGTCTGTAGGAGCAGAAATGTGACAACTCAGGACAGACAGAACAATGGCTGAAATAACATCCTAGAGAAGAAGAAACTAAATTATTGACCCTTGGCAGGAAAATCGTACAATCCTTCCTATAAGAAAGGGAAAAAACAGTGGCAGAGCGGAATAATTTAGAAAATTATAAATATAAGGGAGTGGAATTATCAAAATAAAGTATGTAGTAAAAATGGAAATCATTAATTTCTAATAAACTCATTCCTAAAATAGCATTTGTTAAGTGATATATATTATTTAAATTTTTATCATGTACTGTGGTTATTTTTTTGAAATGTTATGTGGATACCTAAGATATTGGTAGTTTTGTTTATAGGCTCTATGATTTGTAAATAAAATTTGTAGAGCATTTATTATGCTACTTTATTGTAATTTACCAAGTTATTTCTCCATATTTTTCTTGATTTTTTAAGACTTAAAGAAATTTTTAAAATTTTCTTAAGATTTCTCTTAATTTTTTTCTTACTTGCAGATTTGATGTATATATTTTATTGCTATACTACTTTGTATATTAAGATTCATACTATTTTGTATATTAAGATTCATACTAGTAATAACTTTGTTGTGAACTGTATCCTTTGCCATTATTCAGTGAATGTCCCATTTAACACTTTTTACATACTTTTTCCTGTTGTGTTTGAAATTATTTTAATTAGATAGATTTTATCTTTGTCACAGCTATTTATATTTTGAGTCCTTATTGTTTCTTTGTATTCTCTTTTGTTTTATGACCTAGGTTTTCTTCCTGTTTTGTTTGTATTTTATTTTCTTCCATATTAGAGTCAAAGTTCAAAAAGTTGGATTTTATTAAAGTGGTTAGAGATGAATTTTAATGAAAAAAGCTATTACGGGGCTGGGGATTTAGCTCAGTGGCAGAAGCACCTGCCTGGCAACCACAAGGTTATGAATTCAATCCCTGATACAAAAACAAACAAACAAATGCACCAACAAAACTATTACAACAGGGAACTGAGGCCAACGTAAATTGAATCCAATGTCAACTTGAATAGAGATGATCTAGCTAAAATGGGAGTAGGGAAGGGGACAAGAAGGAGCTCAGCCGAGTCAGGGAACTAAATAATTACAGATGGTTCAACAGCATAAAGTGATAAGACCATGCCTGACAGCTGGATTCTTCTCTCCCACAGAGGCTAGGTCAGAGGACCAATTCTTCTTAGCGATTGTATTTCCAAAGGATGGTTTTCAGGTTCTTGAGAAAGCACTTCTGAATTATCGGAAATGCAAGAGACAGAGTAAAGATTTGAAATTGCAATCTTCTTTCTACTAAATGCTCTGAGAAAGGGTGGTCAGAGCCCTCTTGTCAGGTGCTGACTAAAACAAATAGTTCAAGGCTTGTGGAAGACTTGAGCAGTATCAAGGAGGCACATTAACAGGTACTAAGTGGCCTGGAGTTTCTGGGAGCTATACTACTGTTTGTTGAAATCTTTGTAGGCCAAGATGGAGGACTCAAAGGAGTTTGGGAAAGATTTGGTCAGTCAGAACCTTTTGTCATTAGTTGTCTATTGCTGTATAACAAACTTCGCATCCCAAAATGTAGCACTTTCAAACAACACACATTTACTAGCACTTTCTGCAGGCCCTACCTTG